CCGCGGTTCGAGAAGAGTAACGCCTCTTCCTCGCCGCCGCGACAGGGGTACGATTGCACTTTGACCGCATTTGTCCCGGCTGCGCAGTCGCAGCTCGGAACCGCTGCCTTCGCGTACTTCACCCCAACCCCGGAAATGACGTTACGATCTTCGGGGTCCAAATCGGAAGTTAACTAGAGTCGGCTGCTTCCGGCCGCTCTAGGACACTAGGCCAACTAGGCAGCCATCTTGTTCTAAGGCTGTTCTGTGAACCTCCGCGAGAAAAGGACAGAAAAGAGATGAGGCAGCCTATTTATGTTAAAACGGGGGAAAAACGAAGACGCCAAGTATGGAGGTCCCCGCAGGGAACTTTGATTTTCAGTGGGCTCCGGCGGTCTGGAGACGTCACCACCGTTTAGTGTCTGCGACGTGGTGGCGTCATCATGGACAGCGCTGGGGGGGGGTGCGGTTTCGTTGGCCACGTGACGGCACCCAATGGCGCTGCCGCCGTTTAAGGTTGCCAATACAAGGTGCCACACTGTGACCGCAATTGCGGTCTCCTGTACCTCGTGGTGTGTGAAAGCACTTCCTTCGTGCTTTCGCCCCTTCACCGACATTCTGCGACTCTCTAGTCGCACCCGCGGTTGGATCCAAGTCAGCTTATTGGCCATCAGAAAACGTGGGCTGAGTTTTCCTGAAACTGCGTTGTGCTCTGATGGCTCCAGCAGCACCATTCAGTAAGGCCCTGAGAAACCCAGGCTTCCTGTATTGTAGCCTCTAACAGCTTCAAAACGTCTGCAGAATAGATGGGAACATAAACAGTAACCCCTGAGAAGTCAAGTAGCCCGCACTCATTCAGCTTTGTGTATCGCTCAAGGTAGTGATTAGAATCAGCAAGTCAGAAGGAAAGGCTCTTAGAAAAATGCAAGTTGGCCCTTACCGTAAGAATCGGAAATAACAGTACAAAAACGGACAAATTGCTGCACACAGCATGCATGAATCTCAAAAACATGGCGTTAAGGAAAAGATGCCAGACATAGAAAGGTTCATACCGTTTGGTTCCTCTTAAATGTACTCTAAAAACAACAAAACAAATTAGCCTGTGGTGTTAAAAATCAGGATGGTCTTTCCTTGGGTGGAGAGGACAGTTACAGAAAGGAGCCACGAGGGGGCTTTTGAGGTTCAGATACTATTCTGTTTCTTGATTTGGATGGTTATAGGTGTGTTCACTTTGTAGAGATATCACTGAGCTGTAAACTTATATTTGTAGTTTCTTTTGCATATTATACATAACTGAAAGTTATGTTTAAGTAGGAGGGAATTTTCCGAAGATAGAAATGTTACTGATACATACAGTTGTCAAAATTCATAGAACTGAACTCCTAAGATCTGTGCATTTTATTGTATGTTAATTATAACAGTATAACTTAGTTTTTATAAAAAGTGTTCAACTGAAAGTCTTTACGTACTTAAATAGGAACAAATGTCCCATTTCACCACCTAAAAGCTTGACCTAATGCAATTATTTTCAAATTTGCTTGGTTATGCAGCTGGGGCAACTCCTCCCCCCAGATATCCTAAAGTCACAAGATTTTCAAATACCTTCTATTACCCAGTGACTTTCAAATCTCTGTCTTCAGTTCCCTCACTCCTCTGCGCTCCAGACTCTCAGCCTCTGCTTGAGTGTCTAATAAGCACATCAAATTCAGCTCGTCTTCAATTTCAGGTTCTACAGCCCATCCTATAATAAATCTTGATGGCTTTATATTCTAAATATGTTGAGAATCAAACCACTCTCCCAGCCTCCACTGCTACCACCCACAACCAAGACATCATTACTTTGCCTGGATTTTTAGCCTTTTAACTTGTTTCTCTGCTTCCCCACTATGTCTTTACAATTAGTTTCCCACACCGCAGCCAGAGTAATCTTTTCAAATCATCATATCCCTTGCTTAGAAACCTCCAATAGCTTCCTACTAGACTTAGAATAAAGTTCAAATTTCCATCCATGACCTAGTGTGCTCTACATGATCTTATCTGACATTTATGAGTCTCCTGTCATCTCGTGGAACTCGTCTCTCACTTCTCTCCCCTCCACCTGGCATTTTGGTCATTCCTTGAATCTGCTGAGCTTGCTCTCACCTCCAAGTCTGTATTCTGTGCCTTCTCTCCGTCTGGAATGCTTTTCCTCCAGAGCATCACTTAGATCATTCCTTCACTTTATTCAATTCTCTCAAAAGTGACCTTAAGGAGGTTCTACCTGACTATTTTAGTGTTCAATCAGAGAACCAGAATGAGTAGACAGATAGATGAAAGATAGGTGATAGACACAGACACATTATAATAAAGAATGAACTTATACAATGGTGGGAACTGGCTAATAACCAAGTCCAAAATTTCTAGGCCAGGCAGGCAGGAATGGAAGATCACAGGCAGGCTGGGCCCTATTGGAACATGCCAACGCTTTCACCCACAAGAAGTCAGGGAGGGAAGAACATAAGCCTGAACTTCCTTGCAAACTTTCCTTGCAAGTAAACTATTCAAAGATTTTGCCCTGGGTGTCCCTTTGACAGTAATCAAAAAGTTTTGTTAAAGTATAATTTCAAAAAGGTGAACTCAAGACTCATGTAACTATAAAATGAACATGTGACAAATATTTTAATGAGGGAACCAGTAATATTTTAAAACTATATTGAAGTACGTTTGCATAGCTAAGTACTTATAGGCAAATTAATAATTGAATGTTAGTGTGAAGTTGCAAAGTTAGGTTCAAACTGGTATAACCTTTGGAGTTACCCATTCCACTGGAAAGTAGGGATGTGCATCCTTACTGGATAAAAATCTTCCAGTTAATATGTAATCATTAAGGCTAGGACCTTAAATCAATAGTGAACAGTGAGTTCCACTCATGACCTGCCAAATTCAGTAGATATTTTCTGAACGACTATTTTACTTTTTATGCAAAATTTCTCAGTTTAAATACTACATGGGTCAAACTAAAGATGTCTGTGGTCTGGGTTTGGGCCACAAACTATAATTTTATAATCTGTGATTAATAATTTTTAATACATGCTAAATTCTAATAGGCTCTGACTAATCTCTTGGCTTTCACTTAGGTTCCATGGGCTCCTAGGACCAAATGCAAATTAGAAAAAGCAAATCAGGATTCTTTGCACCTTGCCTTGACTTCCAGAAGAGCCTCTAGAGTTCTGTTTGAGTTATATATCATCACCCACTCTGCTGTACCTTTAAAGACTAGCCACAGCCACCTAATCCAGGATTAGCCAATCAGATTTTTGTAAGATTTTGGAATTGGGACAGAGATGCTAGTCTATCTCTGCTGTCGCTTGAAAAGAAGACACATAGACCTGGAAGTTGTGCACTTAGAAGCAGGAAAAGCTTGTTTTCGGAGCAATGCAGCAACAGATAAACATCACCTGGCAAGACCAACAGAAGAGCAGTTCCAGGAACAGTTCCTGTCCGTCCCTTGTCCCAATGCCTCTTCAGACCCAACTGTTTGGCCTTTGGTATCTATGATAAAAATATCCCTATTCCCTTTTAAATAATTGCCTTATTAAGCTAGCTTGAGAGAGTTTCTCCGTTACTTGCAACCAAGGAGTTTCTGTAGAGAGGAAAATGGCACTTGGCAGTGCTGATGTGCAGGGTGTCATTTGGCAGCGTGCAGCCTGGAGCAGGCTCCCATACGAATCGACTGAGTTCAGATGGTTCAGAATAAAATCAATGAGACATACATGGACTTCAGAACAAATGTTTATTACTGCTTAATGGGACCAAAGGGGCAACACAAAGCCTCGAAAACACCACTGGCTCACAAAAGCGGTCACCTTGTTACCTTCTTCGTTGCATCTGTTTAGTTCGTAAGGCTTCATTCACACGTGAAAACAAGATACTAATCCAATTCAAGTTCATAACGATTATAAAAGTAAACATTTGTTGGGACAATGTACAATAAATTGCACTTTCCTTAACAAGCGTTACATTTACATTTACAGAGTGTACTATACATAATACATGGAATTATGGAAACATCTAATTGGTCAGTGTTTATTGGAGAGCAGCTGCTCTGTTTCTTTTGTAGTTGATCAGCACTGTTTGGGCTACTCCACTCCCTTATCCCAGAACCTGTTTTCATTAGACACACCGTGGACAAAAATCTATACAATTCATAAAAATAGATGGTAGAGAATTCCTACTACGTCCTCAGCAAGAGAAAGGCAGAAGTTGAAAGAAAGGGAGAGGGACTGACTGAGAAACTTGTTTCCCTCATTTGAACTAAGAATCCATACATTATGCAAAATACCAAAAATAGAGAAACTGATGTAAAAGGCTATTGGGACATCTTGGATTCTGGGACCATCTCCAGGTTTATTCCTGTGCTTTCATGACACCAGAGTCTTGATGCATTTATATCCTTATAATTCTGTTTCCTATATTTTATTCCACTTATAGAGTTATTAAATTACATTTTAATGGAAAAGATTTTACATGTTACTGTCACTGAAAAAGGAAAGTAACTTAAAATGTTCATTTCCTATTCAATGATTCTTTTTTCTCAGATCAAAATTTTCAGAATACCACAAATGATGGAGGTGGGAAGAATGGGACATGCTGATGTTTTCATAGCGGGCAGCAAATTCATTTGGAGATAAGCTTGACATGTAGTCTTTTAGACAGAAGCTGAGAAGGGAACACCTGACCGCTGACTGCAGTCACTAAGCTACTCGTAAACATCCACTTTTCTCGTTACTACTCAAGATCATCGATTGAGGTGCAGCCCACACTGAAGTGTTCATTTTGGTCGCTTCTGAAAGATAAGTAAATTCCCAAGGTAAAGGGCTTTGCTTTTATTGTATGGAAGTCACTACGAGAAAGGGAGGATGTTCTGGAGCAGTTCTAGTTCAAGGTGACCGTCAGCATGGCAACTAGAGGGCAAGGGAGTTTTGTATGATGGGAAACACAGGCCACTGAGATGCTGTCTGCCCTTCTGTGTCCGATCGCCCTGTGTGTATTCAGGTGCATGGTACCAGGGTATACAAAAGCAGCAAGGATACTTTATAAAATTCTACCAGTCACGCACACACAAATCCAACAGTGTTCAAATCAAACAAAAGTCTGTCCATTCTCTCATTTATTTGGAACTGAAGCCAGAGAATCAGAGCTTTTCAAAGTGTGTTTAAGAGCACGTTAGACAATAGAACCATCATCTTGCTAAATAATTAAGTGTTCTTTTTTCCCTCAGAGATAAATAAAACAAACAAGGTATTTAATTTTCTAAAAGCTCCTTTTTCCCTTAAAGGGGTCCTGAAATCAGACAACCGCCTTAGCAGAATAGTTAGTAGATTGATTTCAGCTAAAGAAAAAAACTCAGTCCCTTACATGAGTTACATTCTCATCCTCAGTAACTAATCAACCCTTTTAAGGATCTCTCATCTCTTGTGCATTCTCTTGTTTTTCTCACTTTAGTTAGTTTAAGACATGAAGCCACTAGTTATTAAGTGAAAAATATTTAAGAAAATGGAATAGGGGTTTGAGAAAAATAAATAACACACAGTGTAAAAGAATGAAAATTTTAAAGAAAGGAAGTAAGATAAATACGATTAAATTTCCCAACATCAGTACAAAGATTGCTCTTCTACTTTACTGTGGAAACGTAAGAAAGCCAGTGAAGAAGAAACTGCTAACTTAACAGCTTGGGGAGGGGGAAGACATATTGGCTGTACAGAAAGATGGGCCATAGGCCTATGTGACATCCCTACTAGCGTTTCTGATGGGCACTCGTAATACAGAACATTAGGTAGCTGACTGTTTCTTTGCATTAAATTGTATGTAACTAAATATAACGAATTGTGCCGGGGCTCAGGATGTGGGAAGCTAGTACACATATGCACTGCAAAATTCAGCATGGTTTCTTTCAGTTTTAAAGAATGTATTACACAAGATTTTCAATATATAAAATTAATGAACTGAATAATCAAGTTGAATTCCATTCTTTTAACTTATCCTGCAGAATTTAATGAAAAGAGAAATGATCACTTTTCAGAATATTGATTGCCAAACGTTGGATTTGGGGAGGAACGTTTTATATAATGTATCTAGGAAAAGATGAAAAACACTAGGGTATCTGAAAATCTTCTGGCTATTTGGGCTGGTTAATCTCTTTCTAAAAGAAGTCAAGAGAAGAGTAGCAATTCTCAAATATATTCCAAAATAAGTCAAATTAAAACTAGCAGTTTTCAATAATACACAGTGAAGGACATGTGGTTTGGGATACTGCTACTTTACATATTGTATGAATAATTATATCATATACCACAGTTTGAATTTTCTATCTTTACTGCTGCTACTGACCCAAAGGCATTGCAGCGAGGAAAAGTTTAGACTTATAGTACAAACACATACTCAAGTATAACATGAAACTGGAAAAGAAAAAAAAATCTATAGTTTCCCATTATAATCTTTTAAAAGAGTTAAAAGGAAATGAAAAGTTAGATTTAGTAAATGTTTGCAATATATATAAACCTAGTGATTTTGTTTCAAGAAAAAAATGTAAAGGGCTATGAAACTGAGCCAAGTCAACAGGTAAGGACTAGATTTAGAGCCATGATATCTCTCCTTCAACTACCGTTTAAGGAAAATTATGCAATTCAGGCATTGCATGGAATACGCTGTATAGTAGAACGATGAGGCTCAAGAAACACAAAAAATTGTCTTTAATTTAGCAAGCCCTCTGATAGACAACTTGTACAAGGCTTCTTGGAATCAAAGCGTAAAGTACCAGTAAAGCTAATGAATTATACTGAATGTTTTACAGAAACAAGTACCAAGATATAATTCTCTACCCATTAATTTTACAAAAAAAAAAAAAAAAAAAAGAATAAATAACTTTTCTAAATCACCATGCAAGGAATGTTAAAATCAACATAAACACTCAGAATGCTGGGTTGTTTTTCTTTTTGGTATAAAGAAATGAATATTGTGATGAAAGATGTTAGGACCAAAAACATTCTATGAGAAAAATATTATTTGATGAGTGTAACAAAGGATAACAGACAACCCTATCAGTTTTATGGGTTGCATGGGATCTAAACACTTGCCGATAGCGGGACTTCACTTTTTAGAGTTTAATGATCATTTTAGGAGAAGGATCCACACGAGCAGCTTGAAGTACATGCTCCTGAAGTCAAGATGGCTCTTGATTTTTACTTCCAAGAGTGTGTTAGTTTCAGTTGCAACACATGGCACAGATGAGAATCACTCTGTCAATGCAGAGCTTAAGATCATTTGCAAAGAATATGTTCGACAAGGAAGCCAAGGATGAGTATCAGCAAATGTTACTGTACATACCTGACAGTAGTTGGGTTGGCGTAAAAGGATCAGAGGCCTCCAAAATAGCTTAGAAAATGGGGAAATTCTTTTTGCCCTTACCAAACGATTCCCTGTAAGGATTATTTTATATAGACACGTTAAATACAATTGAAAAAAAATATTTCCATCAACTTTTAAACATTATCTTTCTTCACTTTTCCATAAGGTAAGTATTTCTATAAAGGTTTCAGATTCAATCAAAAATGTTACAGACGCATTCGTATCTCTTCATCTAGGGGTGCCAAGGGTGCATTTGGGGGAGCTACGGGAATCAGGAAAAGTTGCCCAACATTAAACTGAGATGGCGTGAAGCTGACATCTGCTTCCTACTTCATAACTTTAACAGTAATATTAGTGTTTCCTTAGCAAGCATCTGACGACATTAAATGACACGCTCTGTCCCCGGTTCTGTACTCCACCTGAACCCGGGCCTTTCTAGGCCTCTCTGGTGAAGATTCCCTAAGGCTGCAACTTGAGATACCTACGTCTGAGTTTAGATTTGCCAGAACTCACAACTTATTCACACTTAGGAACTTGCAATTCCCGTGTGCAGTTCTTAAAAGGACCTGTTAGAACACCAGGGCCAAAGTGATTTATTTCATCCTGCGTTTATCAAAATCTCAGTTCGTTCTATCTAGTGTGTATTCTCAATAGCCTATCTTATCTCTCGGTTCTTGGCACTTCGATTTCAGATGTACCCAACAGAAAATGAAATCAACTAATTCTCTCTGGGGACTGTTCAATCCCAGGTCTGCCCTTTCCTTCAAACAGGATTATCGCTGTCCAGGAAATTGTTTTCACGAGGAAACGTGACAGTGGTCGTGACTGGCCCCACAGTGTGCTTTATCTGAATAAATCCTGAAAAGTTAAGAGGTTTAGGTTTCAACTTTTTTTCCTGTGACAAAGCTCTTCCTTTCACTTTGACCTTGGAATAAAAGACATCTCCATTTTTACAAAAGATAAAAATAATTGTGAATACTTAGTTCTAAATAAAAAGCATTTAGTTCTGAATTACTTAATTCCAACTAAACATCAGGCATAGAAAATAATGTTTCATACTATGACGCATCTGAACGCGGCCTTCCATGAAGAAGCTTGAAAACAGGTATCCAACATAAACCAGGGCAGTTTCAATGCCATCCCTCTGAGGAGTGTCATACAACAAAGAGCTACGGAAAGACCTGGCGGGCTCTCTGGCCTCCTTTAAAGGGACGCCAGAGAGAGTTCTCCTGGGTTTCCGTCGCTTTGATCGCTGTGCTCTTGTGCTGGGGCGAGGCTGGAACTATGTGCTCTCCTTGGGTGGCGGGGTGGCCTGTGGCGGCTGCAGGGGCTGGGTGCCCGTGGCCGTTTTGATAGAGTTCAGGGTTTTGCTAAACCAAGAGTTTTTTGCAGCTTGGATTTCATTCATAAGGGCCCCTCTCTGATGTTCAAGTTCCTAATTAAAGAAAGAAAATTATCTGAGTTGTATAAGGGTTTTCTCTCTGCCAAAGAAGTCCAGGTACAGCTTTTTGGAATCCCCAGGTCTACACGGCCATAGCCTTCCTCCCGCAAAGCCCAGAGGAGAGTTCATTGGCTTCTTAATGCAAGAAAAAGGTTTTAGCGCTGAAAGAGTTACCGCTAAGAACCAGAATCTGTGCTTTTTCTGAACAGGGAGATGAAACCTCATTTTATCTTTTTTTTTTCACCCCCTGCAATTTAGATTTAGGTTACAACCTGACATAACATAGTTAAAATCACAAATAAACATAAACACACAGACAGATTGATAGTGTAAGCACGAATAAGTTCTAGTTCCAAACACATGGTTTTTGCCCTGAGAATCTAGACAAGGTCCAGTGCAGAGACAGTTAAGGGTCACTAGTGTGGCGCAGGTCAGTGCCACGGCAGGACACGGCAGCGGGTAAGGATCAATGGTAAACAGGAAACGGGGAACCGTCCATCAGACGCCAAGGCTGTTTTTCTAATTATGTTACCCCCGGTATGAAAAGAGATTATGAGGAAATAGATTTGGCAGAATCAGGTAAAGATGAAAAGATGCTCCAAAGAAAAGAGTGGGTGTCGGCAATGTTCGGCCCTCATGGACGGATAATGAAGGGGGCTGGGCCTTCCGTTTTCCAGGATCAGCTACCAAAGTGACCGAGTTCAATGAGACAGGACCTCGGCAAAAAAAAGTCTCGGGGTAAACCAAAAAGGCTTATGCCTGAGTCCTCCCAAAACATATTGTAACTATTAAAATTTCACTTCAATCTACGTTCGTTTATATCAGAGTTTAAAAATAATGACATTAACGTGACTACGCAGGACACGTCGGTGGCCAGAAACTGCATTCATCATATATACTAATAGCTATGATGCTGGGCCAGGTAGGTATGTATACACGCTAAAGTCCTGGACTATCCCAGACAATTAACTTCATTTTCTCTTGGCCTTTTATCAAGTCACCAACCTGGATTTTACACTTGGCCTCCACCAGCTGCAGCTTGGTTTGTGCCAATTCCAGCTCCATCTCCCTCAGCTGCTTCTTTAGTGAGTCCTTCTCATCGTCCGACTCAACTCCCTGGTCCTCTCTGTTTATGGCTGCTGGTTTCAAAGTGCCCTCCTTGCTGAAAATGTCACTGCAATGTTTACACGCCATCATTTTACCCTGAAATATCCAAGAGAAATAAACAACATCGAACTGTATTCCACAGCATAAATCATTTCCTGAAACAATATATGATTTGATTTTTACTTAGATGCTTCTTGTTGACATCAAATGCAGGCCCATTTCTAAAGGAAATTGTTTTTCTTGTGTTACAACCAAAATGGTTATAGTCAACATAGAACCCAACTATCTCCGACAGGTGCTCCTTTTCCTTAAAGCATCTCTAGGGAGACTCTGGGAATAGACAATCTTCTAGCATCCCTTTGAAACCTGTTCTCGAAATTTTGTACTGCCACTACTCTTGCTAGATGCCAAGTCCCATCCATTACGCTCAGCGTGCAGCCATCTGCACGTAGCATCTCATCATTTGATCCTAGAGCGACTGCGTGACCAGGTACTATTATCACCCCCATTTTACCAACGAAGAAACTTAGTTTAAGTAACTTGCCCATAGAAGACTAAGGTCATTAGGATCAACCTAAATATACCTTTGCAACAAATAAAGCATATGCCCTTTTATTCAGCTTTAAGCAAAGATGATCATTAATGTCCAAGGTAATAAAAGTAACCCAGGCCTGGATTGCCAATCGGAGCACAATCTGCCCCGAACAAAGCAACTCTTGTCAGGACGACAATGCCATCGTTTTCTTAAAATCTCTCCAAAAGTAGTTTAGAATGAAAAGACATTATGAGGTCTTTCTATTTTGATGTGCTACTGTTACAACGAGCTCAGTATGTCTACAACCATAGCATTCCATGGTAGAATTATAGGCCGGGAAGGGATGCAAGGATCTAAGGGCCCACCCACCTCCTTATAACTGGGTGCGCTCTCTCTAAGCAGTCTTCTTAGAAGCTCCACACCCCTCTCAGGCTTACATATCAGAACTTAGTTTCACAGCTACACCTAGCCTCAAGGGAGTCCAGGAAACAGCACCTTTTAACTAGTACGTTTCCAGTCCAGATAACATCAGGGTTCTGCTACTAAGGAAAAAGGAGAGACAGATGTTGAGCGGGAATCTGCAGTCTCTCCCACTCCCTAGCACTTCAGCATGTCTGCCGACTGCAGCGTCGTGAGGCTCATCACTCTTGCCCATGTTAAATTATAGGCTAAAGTGCCTAGAATGCATTTATTTACTAGTTTTAAACCTCAATATATTCAAACAGAATTATGTCAGGTTTCTAGGACACTGGTCCTGAGACTTGGCTGTGCCAACACTGCTTCTTAGGAATACCAATCCATTTGGTTTGCTGTTGTTTCTATAGAATAAGCAATTGCTTGTTTCAAATAATCAATTATTACCACCAGGGGGCAGTATATAAATAAATAAATGCTACGAGTTTTCTTTAAAAATAAACCTCTACAAAAATTGCTGGAAAAATCAGCTACCCAACACATGTTTTCCAGCTGAGTCGTAGGTTGCCCATGGCGTTCACTGTCCGAATCCCAGATCGCCTGTGGCATTCACCGTCTAAGTCCCAGATCGCTCGTGGCATTCACTGTCCGAATCCCAGATCGCCCGTGGCATTCACTGTCCGAGAGAGCGAGGGGCAATCCTGCCAGGCCATGCACCGAAGGCTGATTCCAGCCCGGCTGGGACGCAGGCCGCTGAGGGTTCCCAGCATCCAAGAATGCTCGGGGCCTCTTGTGACTATGCTCAAATCCTACGACCCGCCTCTGACGGCCCATAAGATTTATGGGAACATAATCTTTCAGCGGGCAGGGAAGAGGATCATACCCCAGTCAGAAGAAAGATACTATTCTCCATAATTCCTAAATCCTTTAGAACAGGGGTCCAACCCCCGCGCCATGGACCGGTACCGGTCCGTGGCCTGTCAGAAACAGGGCCGCACAGCAGGAGGTGAGCGGCGGGTCAGCGAGCGAAGCTTCGTCTGCATCTGCAGCCGCCCCCAGCGCCAGCGTCACCGCTTCAGCTCCGCCTCAGGTCATCGGGCGTTAGATTCTCATAGGAGCACAAAGGTTGGGGGCCGCTGCTATAGAACAAACAAGCGGGTGGGTGTGACGCCTACAAGGTGCCCTGCGGTGGGATCTTCCTATCGGGTGCTCACGACTGGGAATTTGGAAGAAATTCTATCACAGAACTATTTCACTCTCCTCACCTTTACCACTTCCAGCTCCTCCTTGCTGGCTGCTTGCTGCTTTTCCAGTCTGGTGCTTAACTGGGAACAGATCTAAGGGGAAAAAAAGAGTTTCTTTACTGGAAAATAGAATGACTCTTGCAGCATGTGCACATAACTGTTTGTCAACTCATGTATTACCCACACCTCTGATGCTAGAAGAAATTTTGCAAATGAGTACACTACAGATGTCAGCAGAAAGCCTGGAAGTGTCCCATGTGTAAAGCGCCTCTTGATCTTAATCAGTAGAAAAGCACATGGGGTAGATTTGACTTCTTTCTGTCACCAGCCTTCATGCCTGGTTCCGGTGAATTCTGCCCTCGCTTGTGGGATCATCTACAGAATCTTTGCTGAGTAACTACTATGCTGGGAATCTGATGAAAAGATCTGTGAACCGGAAATGTCTCGTCTACAGCCACAGAAAGAGTCTGTTTTCAATTGCAAAAGTTTCCTTAAGAAGTGGCAGAGTGAGCAAAACAAAGGTAAAACGACCAGAGAGTAATAAAGACTGTAACTCTTATCAAGTGCTTTGGCGGCGCAGCATAAAATGAAAAGCCAGGAAATCAGGCTCTACTTTCCAGCGCTGTGTTCATGGGCAAATTCTAAGCTTCCATTTCTCACGACCAAAAAGTGCTGTACTGCGATAATCAATGGAAAAAAAACGCATGCAAAGGGTTTAGTATAGCACCTGGCTGACAAGCGCTCATTAAATAAAATCTCAGTATTACTGATGCTGAAATAAGGTGCTAACGAGCACTAGAATGGGGAGAATAAGCACTTTCCAAGCCAAAAAAAAAAAAAGAGTTTAAAAGAAATACTGGAAGTTCGACTCTTGTTGAACTTGATCTTGTTCTTGTTAAACTTGTGTGAAATACAAATCTTTTATTTTTGAGAAACAAAATAAAAGTGCTAGCGGATGTCAAATTTGAAAGCATAATTTAGATTAAAAACATAAAAGGTCTACCTCTATTATCAAAACAGACATTTAAAAAATCCTAGTTTACTCAAAAACAGTTCTAGAGAGCAGGGCCTGCTAGTTGAGTTCCATCTCCGATTTCTCCAGATCCAGGCCTGGAAACAATAAGTAGGCCTGTGTCAGCCGATGGTAAAAAGGGATGATGTCACTAGTAATTTAGGCAAACCATATACCCTTTTAAATAAACCCAAACATTCTGAAACGCAGCCAATAATAGCCAAGTCCCACTATAGAATGCATTTAGATCTTGTTTTATGTCTAATCATCTTCAAACAGATGGATCTGTTGCCTTGAAGTGCTTGCCAGATAATATTCAAGAATAGTCCCAAGGCTTGCTATTTGAAGAGTGCTGCATATGGCGGCCACCCAGGGCCCAACGTGGTGACGAAAAAAAAAAAAAAGAAAAGCATTTGCCGTGACGACAATTTCCACAGCACATGGTCTTTCGTGTTCCTTGTAGTGGTTAATGTCTAACCATCCCCTCTCCTCCCTACCTCAAAATTCAGTCTCCAAGGACCACTTTCAATGTTTTCCCTTGTTCTAGCAAAACATGACTATCTCATATCTCCCTCGTCTGCCTTCATTGCTGCTTATTCCAGTGCGGGGCCCTACTTGTTCTCATCTGGACTCTGCTGTTAGCCTCTTACTGCCCTGTGTCTTTCCCTGTGGATCTTCAACTTCGTTCCGTTTCTCACGGGCACAGAGCGGTGCCAATAACGCGTCCCTGATCATTTCACTTTCCTGCTACGAACAGAACGAAGTCCGAACTCCTCGGCCAGTCCCTGAAGACCTGCTTGGAACTGGGCCCCGGCTCATCTAAGCTTCTCTTCCGTACTCAAAACTCACGGCACACAAAACTGTTCCTGTTCACTCCTCCACCTCCACGCCTCCGCACGTGCTGGCCCCCTTCCCACCACCTCCCGCCTCCCCTCATCCATCTCCACGTTCCCACATCCCACCGAGCCTCCGAAAAGCACAGCTCCAATCACCCCTTCTCCATATTTCCCGTATGCAATAAATTCCCTTTCCTTTTATTTATGCACAGGTATTATCTCCCTATTACAAGGCCACATAGCCATGTGGGAAAACGAGTTCGCACATCTGTACTGTGACAGCAAAGGACACACGGACCCCCTAGCTATTGCCATTTAATATAATCACTAAACTCTGGTCCTTGGCAAAGAGGCAAATGTTACCAGTGTGATGTACAGAAAATTAGCTTCTGAGCAGGGCGGTGACTGGGTCCCCACGGTAATAACAGGGTTTCTTGTTCCTCTAACTCCATCAAGCATTGTAAACAAACAACAGATTGTTTTGTTCAAATAAACCTCACGTGTTATCAGCAAGCATGTCCAACTGCTGTCAGTTTCAGAGGAGAAAATAAGCCACCAAATTTAAGGAATGCAGTGCAGTCATTGTTCTGGAAACTCTAGAAACAAGATATTTTTCCCTGAAGAAAAACCACAATAATTACTTTCATAGCGACAAAATCCACAGCAGCACGTTACCTGTTTATACTCAGCAATGATAGCAGTGGTCTTCTGTATTTCATATTCTGCCTTCTCTAGCTGTTTCCTGAAGACTTCTTTTAGCTAGAGTGAAATGAGAAACATCCAGACTCAGAATCCCAATAATAAATTCCTACAAACATCAAGATTCAAGTCTGCCCGCATCACAGCCAACGCGGCAAACACTGTAACTATATAAATTCTCCTCCCTGAAGCTGCATCTTGATCATTTGAAAAATCTAATCGTCTCCAGAGATACAGAAATCTTTCTTTCCTTCCTGTCATATGTGAGACATATGAGCAGTCCTGTACCGAAAGTGCTGACGCGTACTGCTTACTTTATAAATCTATTATAAGTGTCCACTCAGAAGCTACCTCTATGCCTCTGGGAGTCGACGTTGCAGGTAGCCCTGACACTATATAATCAATTACTGGGAAAAAAAAAAAAATATTTCAGGCCTTGCTACTCACAGCCCCTGGCCATCACGGCTGCTACCTCTCCGAAGGCAGAAACGCGGCTTCGGGACAGGAGTCAGAGAAAGATGGAGAAAGATGAGCGCTCCCGAGGCCAAGAGATTCAGGGGCTGAAAAACAGCGACTGTAGACGGAGCTAAGGTGACACGTCATGTCGCCGTCACGGAAATACTAAGTCATGAATGCTAAACTTAAAACCGGTTCTTTCTGGAGCATGGCAGCTCTAGAATTCTAGGTACGGGGAAGGTGGAGATGATTGATGAAAAAGCTCAGGCATCACCAGAATGAGGAGAAAGAACTCAATTCTTCCAAGTTGTTGACCAACAAAAAACTAAAAAGAAAAACTCTGGTTAATCTTTAAGCACATAAGCAGAATAAACCGGTGAACTCTGCATTGCGGCACCCCAAATCACGAATGGGGTATCATCTACACTTGTTAATTCACAAGTTAGTACAGTTTATAAAAAGACTCCTGTCATTAGAAGATTTCTGAATTTCTTCATATTTGTTACATTCTAAAAATTCTAGAATAATTTGTTGGTTATACTGACTCAAACTTAATTGGTAAATTCATCTAATTTAAAGACATAAACCATCTTCTTCTCTCCTCCTGTGACAGGCCCCACTGAGTTCAAGACAGACTTAGATGGTTGAAAGGCTTTGGGCGAGTGTCACTTAATTCTCTAAGCCACAGTTTCCTCATCTAACGAATCTCGCAAGGGTACCAAATAGATTAAAACAGGATATATACACACAGGGAAGAAGCATGGATTAAATTCCTTTGCCAGTAAGTTCATTCTTTACCTGAGATACTGAAGTGAGCCCCTAAAAGGCAGGAAATAAAATTTAAAACAAAACCCACCAAAGGGTCTCGATCAAACTGGATAATCAGCCCCTGAAAAATTTTGAGTACGTTAAAAAAAAAAAATCTTGGTCCACGGTAAATGCCAAAAATCATTTTATCATTTTGGAAAAAAAAAAATATTGTGGAACATTTTTTTTATAAACCCTGGAAAGTGTTAAATAAATGATACGTCTCTTCATTAGTAACTTTACTGGAACTTTCTCTGCTTGGATGTAGGTCTTTGAAAGGCTTTGTGTTCCATTTTATATTTAGTATTATTGATGCCTCAAAATAAAACTCATTAAAATAAATGAGTTAATCGTGCCTGGCAGGGTCTGACAGAGAAGGAGCACATGGAGGAAGCAGCCTGCTCCTCCTTAGCAAAGCCAGAAGCGTCGAGTTCCCGGGAGGGGAGGCCCCTCGTGCCCCGTCCAGCAGTCCTGCAATGGCGTCTTCCAGCGGACTAGCCTCACGGAAGATGCAGGGCGCTGATTTCTAGGCTGGTTCCCAAAGAGTTCCTTTTACCCTCGCAGGGAACGCTGGTGCTGCGTCTTCCCAGGGATGAATCAGGAAAATTAAGTGTGACTGACAGAGGCAATTCCCAACAGACGTCTCTGTGGCTTCAGCCTGACAGTCCTCGCAAACCGCTTCAGAAAAGTCAGTTATCTCGGAGATACGACACGGAATCTGCAGCTCTGTCAAAGCTCTAGGATCATCGTCCCCAGTTACTAAACTTAGAGAAAACTTAACACTCTCGCTGGACATCTCAGTGAAGGCCAACCCCTAAAAGCTGTTCGAGGGCCGAAACGCCGCCTCCTCTTCCAATGCCTTCCAAGGAGGTGTCGGGACGCAAGGCCACCCGCACGGACTGCGGCGGGGTCATCGACTCCGTGGACCTGTGTAAAGGGAAGCCCGCTGAGGCCTTTTACCTGAGCAGTCTCCTCCTCCTGCTTCCTCTTCTCGTCCTCGGTCTCCACCAGCCTCTGTTTGGTCAACAGCAGTTCCTTACTCAACACGTCGGCCTTGTCTTCCGCCTGTCGTCAGAGCACGTCACAGTCACAAAGGGGGTGAAGAAAGGGTGTGCACGCTGTCCCCACTGCCCAGCTATTTTGGGTCCAGTGTTAGCATGAGCCACCCCTTTCCCTCCTAGCTCACCCAGGGGTGGCTGCTTTCACCGAATGCCAACCGCGTACCAGGCCCTTGGCACACATTATCTTTAATCCTCACGACGATAATTATTTTACAGATAATGACGGTGAGGTCTGCAGAGACCGAACAATCTGACTGAGACACACACCTGCTATCACAGCCACAATCTGAATTCAGATTTAAATGGCATCACAGCTCACGCTCTTCATAAATGCTTCTTACACATTTTCAGATGGCACAGCGGCAATCACTCTGGGTCAGGACGGAGGGGTGGAACCTCATACGAAAGCTTCTAACTGGCCATGCACGGGGCTGGGGGCACAGGGTGTGAGCAGACAGGCCGATCCACAGACTACACTTAGGTGAGAACATTCCAGGACCCGCTGAGCTCCCCACAGGTCCTCGCACAGGACAGTGAGCATAGTGGGGAGAAATCAGACCCAAAGCCCAGGCCAGAGAGAGCCGTGACGAAGTACGGACCAGCCATCCAAACGAAGGAGACCACGTTTCTAGAAGGGCCAAGAAAAGCTGAGGAGTACAAAGTCTGAACTTGGCTAAAGTTAACACGTGTCGATTTCATACTCTACGGCTCCTGCCACACCCACAGCCTCAGCTTCGAGTTCCCGTGTGCAGGGAAGCCTGGCCCGAGCCTCGCCTGCTCACCCCCATCTAAATTAGTTCCTGTTTAAATCCCTCATATTTCCCTTGATAGCACTTAACACGGTCTGTAATGACAAATGACACGTGTGACTTACTCATCTCGCCCACTAGGCTTTAAGCTCTGGGCGGCAGGAGCCGCATCTCTTTTCTGCATCACTGTCCCCAGAAGCGGGCCCAGCCCCAGCTACAGAGAAGGTACCCCATGGGTACGTGGTGAATGAATGGATACGGCTCCCCAAGCCCCTGCAGAAGCAGACCGTGTGGCGTGGAGGTGGCAGAGGGCCACAGGATGAGCTCAGCAGAGAAAACCACAGACGCAGAAGAGAAGCAGCCATCTCAAGAAGCTGTCCCTGGCTGACAGCAGCCAAGTGTCATCCAAGCGACCGTGAAAACGGGCCAGGTGGCCCCCTGTCTGTGTTTCTCCGTATTTCCGCACGTCCAGATGGCCGAGCCAGCAGTCTGCTGGCGACTGGCAGAGAAACCGCATCTAGCTTCTCTGCTGCCACTGTCGTCTAGTTCCGGGGGTTAGCGCTCTGTTTCAGATAACTTAGAACTGGCGGGTACTTAAGGTGAAAAGTCTAAGCTCTGACACATTAGATTTTAGCGTGTGTGTGTGGGGGGTGGGGGTGGGGGATCTATACAATAAAAGAACTAAGTTAAAATTAGAGATGAGCCTCAAAAAATGCAAAAGAGGTTGCAAATTAAGTTTCCATGAATTGTAAGACGACGCAAATTATGGAGACAGAACTGACTTCTACAGTGACTGCCGGCCAGACGACAGGAGTGACCCACAAAACAGGGAGCCCGTCCCCAAAGTCCCCGTCAGAGAATCATCGGGGGGCGAGTCCATGCGCTAACCCCGTCAGTGTCTCAAGAATCGAACCGAATCTGCCTCCCTGTAACCCCAGCCGCCGGTTCAAGTTCCACCTGGGAAATGCGAGCGGCAGCCCTGCCCATAGAGACCGCGGTTTCCCGCCCTCTACGGTGTGCCCGGCACGTTCTGCTTTGTGAAGAGGACGGTCCTTTGATAAGACGCATCATGACACTCTGAAATAAACTATGTCTGAGTTTGGTTTCTGGAGGAGAGAGTCACCCGAAATTTCAGCCTTTTGTAAACTTCTGAGGTCAGTGCTGTCACCCTGACTTTCAGTCACAAGCTTTTAAACGCTGCAGCGTTATCTAGACATTTTAGTGTCTGGGAATGTCCGTAAGAAAGGGAAAATGAAACCACTTCCTTGAGGAAATTTTTAATAAACACCTAAATATTTGTGATGAGAGAACCTACTCTTTATTTCACGTTTTCGGCTGCACTCTCACTAGGCCGAGGTCAGGCGAGCGAGCTCCAGTGCCTCTGTTACCGGACCTGACACCTGCAGACGGTTCTGTGGGTCCCGCAGGGAGGGGTCCCAGAGTCTTCCAGAAAGCTTCGTCCCCTGTGTGAAATAGTGAAGGAGGAGCGAATCTTCTGCTCATCGAAACAGGGCCAGGTCGGAAACTACCTGGTTCTCCCTCCGAGAACAATCTCGGGGTGTCTGTGCAGACAGCCAATCTCTACGCCTCACTTACTGAGGGCGGATCTCACCTTCAGTGATCACTGACTCTCTAGGAACATAATACCAAACAGATAGATACTCAGGTTCTATCTCTGGACCCAAATTAGAAAACCTCCATCGTCGCTTGATAAGACCAACTGGACCGCTGTTATTATTAAGTCTTCTAATCACTTACCAATACTTCGCGACACCTTATTGATACTGATCATCGTAATTGCTTGCTAAGGCTTCTATGACACGTGTGTGAGAGAAACGATACCGCGATTGGCGACTCAATCACGAATCAACCAAGAACCTGATCATCACGCTCGGCTCCAACATCCAGGGGCGGCTCCTGCCCAAATGGCTTCTCAGAGAGCTAGCCAAGCCGGCCGTTCAGCTTAAAACAAAACTAACGAATTTGCCACTTATTGCATGTGGCTTCTGGTCTAACAGGGAGCTTGCTGAGGTGAGCGGGACCTGGGCACCGTCTTGGGGGGAGTACTGGCTGTGCCTTCTTTCCGCTCCGTGGGAACAGGAAAGGATGCAGCAGAAAACGAAGCAAAGATGCTGCAGCTCTTCACATTTCTAGGCGCCGAGAAGCCCTTATTGTCAAGGAGTCAGAGAAAAACCAGAAGCCTTCGCTGTCTGGGGAGCCCGAAGCCAATGCTGAAATGACGAGGAGTCATTTGTTTTTTAAGAGTACCCAATTACCCACCCAATTAGCGTTTGTTTGGTTTACCTATATTTCAAATACAATCTGCTTTCGTGTTTGTTTAATGCTTGCCACAGTTTTGCTATTTTAATTGAGACTAATATCCATTCATTCGCTGGGAATGGAAACGCACTCTGCAAGCTGAGGAGAGGCGGGCAAAGCCGGGGTGTCACCCTCAGGCCAGTGCCCTTCCTGAGGGGCGGAGGGGCAGGTCACCCGCCCTGCAGCGACACTTTCTGAATGGCGAATGCGCCCTGCGCCCGCAGAAACTGCAGAATCAGACGTGAGGCGGAGGCATGCCTGCAAGGACAATTTTTATTCTTCCAACAGGCTTCCAAGGGCAGGGCCCAGCCTGCCTCAATTCTTTAAAAAGAGAGAGAAAGAGAGGTAGGAAGGGAAGAAATAAGCGTAAGAAGAAACAAACGAAGGAATCTTTTCTTCAGGGACTGATCTAGTATCCACGTGAGGTGCACGGGACCAATGATTCCAGAAGTAACCACACAGCAGTCACTCCAGACTGATTCACAAAATGAATTTTCCTGGAAAAACTTTTAAATAATAAACCTTTAATTATTTTTATCTTTAAATAATGTATTTATCTAGATGATCTATTTTAAAACGATATATTTTAATAATATTAAAATAATACATTTTATTATTTTAAAAATCTTAAATTTTAAAATAACATATTTTTTCTAATTATTAAAAAGTTATAATACGTATTATTACTTAATTAATTTAAGTAATTTAAAGTCTTCTTATAAAAGGTTAGGTAATTTAAAGTATTCTTATAAAAGATTAGTAATCGAGAAAATAAAAGTTTAAAGATGAGTATAAAAATTAAATTTATTCTTGTCACCCAGAGATACCTAGTGGCCACATTTTGATGTATTTCCTTCTAGGCTTTTTCTCCTGTTGAGGCATATTCCAGCCTCCTACAGAATGGCCCTATGCCAGCCATATCCCTTGCAATTTAGATGCAAACATTATACACAAATTAATTTATCGTTTTTTTAAAAATATTATATCGTTATCTTCCCATTGTTTTTAAAAACTATTCCCAAAAGATATTTTACAGAGACATTTTCTTTCATTCTCGCCTTCTGGTCGACCCACATATTATTTCTATTTTTTCTTCTTATAAGTAACACCGCAGAAAATAACCTTATATATATGTATGTTTGACCAAATCTCTATTTTGTTAGGATAGCTTTTCAAGTCAGAGTGTGTGTGTGTATTTCTTCATTTATAAAATGAAATATTAAAACACAGGCTTAATGGAGTCGCTGGGAAAATTAAATGAGCTAATGCTTACTAGTGCTTGGTACGCAGTCTGTATTTAATTTCACTAATTTTTAAACCTTTGAAAGGCTTGATGTATACTACCAAGTACATGACCCATACAACTTTCAATCTACACCTCTAGCTCATTTCACTGCATCTCCACTGAGACCAACCGCTTAAAACTTTCTTCAGCCATTTTAAGCCACCTTAGCAAAACTATTAACAGATAAAAGATTTGAAATGACAGAATCAACTGTGAGTGAAGGCCAACCGGAAAGCCTAATACGGAACCAAGAATTTCATTACCGTACGAAGTCACCGCCACCGTCTTATCAACACGAAAGCGTGACAGCCGAGGTCAGGCCGGCGTGGCCCTGGCCGTCTGGGGACGCCTCTCCGTCTCTGCTCCGGGCTCTCTCAGTCACACGTTTTCCACACCAGCTCTAACGACTTCCGAACAGGCTGGCTGCGTGGGGTCTGTGGCTGAGAGGGCCACCCCCCGCGCCCCACGCAGCTCTGGCTTTCTACCTTTGGGATCCGGTGATTGTGCTTTACCTGCCAACCCCATCTAATGCTGACTCCCCCAGCTCCCTCTTCTCCCCCCGTTAGCTCTATGCTCCTCGCATGGTGGTTAAAGCTTTTGAGCTGCAAAATTAGCTGTTTATATGAGGAAAAGAGGTTGGGGCAGGGACCATTTTTATACATTTTAAAAATTCTTTCCATTTTAAACATTTGATCAGATTTATACCATCAGTGGATTTGTATTTTAAATATTGTCAATTCTTAGTGAGAGCACAGGTGAATGCCTTTGTTAGGGATTCTGTGGTCTACATCTCAGTTTTCCTGACCCTGCGCCATTCATCGGGGATATTCCCTTTTTAAAAGTTAGGAAATAGAGTGATAATTTTAAATCCGCACAAGACCTCTTGGACATTGCCGACTTCGCTTGAAAACTCCAGCTAGGAAACAGGAAGCCCTCAAGCTTCCCCGTGGTAAAGAACGAGGGAAGTTAAACGACTTAAGGTCTCCCTAGCAACAGCTAGTGTTTATTCAACACATCCTAGGGAGGCGCTTTACCCCACTTAATTCTCATGTCATCCCTATGAAGCAGACTTTCTTAAGCCTACAGGCAGGTTGAGAACTGCCTGGGGCACTTGGTTAGGATATGGTGATGCCAGGATTCACACCCCGAGAGTGTTGGCTCTTAGCCAGCAGGATGCCTGTCAACCGGACAATATATATATCTTAATGCACTTCCTTCATTGTAGGTGAGAATTCTTTTTGGAACGAAAAGTAAAGAGCCACCCAACGTCGGCGTGGCATCAGTACCCTCTTGGTGACTCATGTTCCCCAGTGATTACGCTCACAGCCCTCCGTCTAGGAAAGGTGCAGATGAAGAGATGCCAGAGAAGTTTAGAGGTATCGAAAAAGCACATCGCACGTGCTGTTTGGAAGTGACTCCAACCTTTCCCGAAGACTTGCGTTTTCCACCGGCTCCGAGGACACCAGCGGGCCCCACCCACCTACCCCACCCGCCCATTCGGCCAGTGACAGTCAACTCGGTGTCCAGTACGGGGAAGCCCCAGCGGGACTGCGGTCAGAGCAGCTCGGTCCTTGCCCTTGAGGAGGTTGTCACGGTCTTATTCCGACCTAGCGAGTGATGAAGTTTACCTGATCCAAGTCATTCCGCAGAGCAATTTTGCTGGTCACTAGTTCGTGGGCGAGGTCGTCATTCTCTTGTTCCAACCTCATGCTGGCCTCCTGCAACCTCCGGTTCTCCCTCTGCGGGAAGAAAACAACAGCCCAGAGGTGGGCGTTAGTGGCCGGACGGACTAGCAGCGGCAGGCGGGCCCGGTGAGGAAGAATAAGCAGCAGCAACACAGTGAACTTCTGCAGGAGTGAGGGGTGGGGCGGGGGCGCAGGGAGGCGGGACTGCTGTCTGGGAAACCGGTGAGTGAAGCCAGCGGTGCGGATGCGGCGGTCCCCCAGGGACACTCGCCACGGGCCCTGGGAGCCCCCAAACGGGACCTCGTTATGACAAAGATGCCACACAAAGCGAACTTCCCACACCTAAGCCCCATCCTGTGAGGTTTCCACATAGACCCAGGATGCAGACACGGTCAGTTCTTTGTTTGGAACATGCAGAATAACCCCACCTTGACCGCAAAGGAAACCACAGACAAGGCAGGGGTGAGATGGGAGAAACCTCTAGACGTTTCTTCAGACTGTCTTTCCAATAGCTGGGTTCAAATTCTCTGAGTGTATGTCAGAGCACGGAATCAAGAATCAGGACTTTGCTACCAACTGACATTTCCATTCTCTGGGTAAAAAGATATTTACTTCTCTGAACGATTTTTGTGTCACTAAGAGCAATAACCCTTTAACGTCCCTAAAGGTTTGCTTTGGGTATCACCTTGTTACGAAGTAAGGTCTCCCCTTAACTAGCCATTACGAACTGTACACTCCCATCGGAATACCCACATAGCGTCTTCCATTCTGTGTATCAAAAGCTTTCTCTGCTACTGTTAGCAGTTACAGGAGATTCGAGAGAGAGCTGACAGGAAAGGTTCGATGTGACGAGACCTTCCTGTTTTTTCAGTTTTACACTCCCAACGGTGTTTTCTGCAAGGGCGGCAAAAACTCAGACAAAGCAGCATTGCACAAGCAGAAGACAAACCTATGTCCTGGAAGAGAGTGTACTGTGGCATACTCCGTGTGCGCGTGTGCGTGTGAAGTTTACCTTCTATAGAACAACCTGGGGTTTGTTATATGGAAAGAAGAAAACCTAATTTTTTTTTTTTTCCAAAGGGCCAAGAAACAGATGGTAAGGGCAAAGCCTGACGCTTCCGTGGAGGCGAAGGATCCAAACACAGGGCCAGCAGAGAAGCTAAAGGACAAACCTGTACTTTGACTACAGCCAGACAACAGGGCTCATTTCTACCTTGTCTTTGGGAGAAGGTAGACTGGGACAGTTGGGGAATGTTAAAACATCTTTGAAAAAGATACTCACTAAAAAAAGATTTAAAAAAATCCCAAATAACTTACTTTTAAATAAATTCATGATAGAATTCTATGCAGTGTTAAAATATAAGTGGAAAAAATATTTAATGACAGAAGAAATGCTTATGCTACTTTGTAGATAACCAGAAAAGATAAATAACCAGAAAAATCCCATTTTCATAACATGAATAATACATATTAACGGTGGGTAGTGGGTTATTTTTGTTGTCTTTGTGATAGGAAAAGGTTTTCAGGTTTTCTACAATGAATATATAGCACGTGTATTTTAAAAGTTTAAGAAGTTGTTTAAAAAATAAAAAGCAGTTTAGAATTTCAATTCCACTGGAAAGGGTTCAAATGTCAAAATGAGAATTTTTAAGTTCACTTTTGTTAGAAGCTCACTTCCTACAGGAAACCACACTGGATCTTCATTTGTGACCAACACACAATGTAACCTCTCAAAAGTGATGCCTCACCAGGACCCCTTTCCTGAGATGTCCCCGCAAAGACAGTGGACATATTGTACGCATAGGGGCAAATTGTACGCATCAGATTCTGTCTGCCCTTCCCCCCTACGGACATCCGACCCTCCCACAGAAGCATCATGAACGTGGAGATTAGCATATTTACAAAGCCAGGATGTCAACAGCTGACTCCTTCGATTTTTGTTGAAGTGATCTGCATTCTAGCAGGGGCTGGAGAGTTAGTTTTTCACTCCAATATATCTAAACTATTACTCCTTTTTTTTTTTTGTGGAAACATACTTGTCGAAAACGCACACTAAAATAAAACTTTCGGAAACTTTTCTAATACGTGTCTTCCTCGCCAGAAGAGACAGCCACACCCACACTACTGCCTACAACGCATTTCACAAAGCCCAGAAGAGATTTTTCTCATTTCTTGATACATCCCTTCCCAAGAGACTGTGCTAAGGCTCCTGCAATATCGATTCCTGAGCTGCGTCCTGTTTCTACGGAAACTGTATTTGCAGGGCTCCAAGGCACAGAAAGGTCCTCTCACTATTATTTACACCACATTCGTTTGGCACAAGTGGATGTGTTCTAGCTGCCGGTTGCTCACGTAACAGTGACACATGCTTAGCATCGAGTTAAAAATGACCTCCGGGTAAAGTCACACGGCACTAGTGGAAAAGTACTTGGTTCAAAGTATTCAAAAAACGCACCAGGGAGCGACTTCCCCTCTGATTAGAGATCGATGTCTGATGGGTTATATTAGACACGAAAGAGATGTGAGCTCAGCGGAAATTCTGACTGGTAACGTCCCATTATGCCTGTCGCAGCTCGAACCCATATAGACACACAGCTGAGAGGGGAAGGGGTGGCGAGGGGGAGATGTGGGAGAAATTCCGAGTGTCTGAGGGTCCCTAAAAAGCAAAACAGCCGACGAGGCACACCTAGTGGCTTTTGCTTTAGCAGGAAGCTTCTGCTCGGTGTCTGCAAAGCAAGCGGCCGAGTGGGAAATGACCCCTGCTCCGCACTCACACACGTGGAAAGCAAGCTCGGGGGCCGGAAATGCAGTATCGTCCTCCCGAGAACAAACCCGGGGCCGGCGAGGTGGCCGCAGGGGTCCGCCAGTGCCACTGAGGGCTGCGTGAGCCACCGCTACCGAGGTGGAGATTTTCTACAAAGAACTCGATCACACTCGCCAAGGGTGTCAAGAGAGACCGCATTACTTGGCTGTCTTCGCCAGCTGTTCCCAAGGAGCCAAAATACCTGTTTTCAGAGCTGACTGCTTCGAGAAAAAGTTTGCCTTTATACCAGAATGGAGAAGAAGGTTTGCTTGTGACGGGCTTGAGAAAGGCAGCGACCTTGCTTGGTTCACTTGGAAAGGTTAGCAAGGGCCGAACATGTAGGAGAGACCTGAACTCAGCCCCGTTCGCCTCGGTCAGTCCGGAGGTCGTCACATGTCATACGTTTGCACAAGGAGATGTGCCAGATGCTCAGGGCCAGTAGGCAAAACAGGCAAATCGCTTCCCTTGCCTTTTGGCAAAGACTCCAGGAGATGCTGCTTCCATAACTCTCAAAACTCACATCGCACCGTCTGAATCACGCTCCACCTCACACGATGGACAGCGTTTGAACAAAAAGACAGCAGCTTTCCTCATGTGTCCCCTCCCCTCCCACACAGCAGAAGCACAGCTAGGAAAGTGCAGTTAGTAACTTTGGGGAGGAGGATACTGCATTTCTCAGAGAGACAGACGCCGATGTTACGGACACACACAGATAAAAAAACTTACCTCAAAAGTCATAGACCAACTACCGTTTTCAATCATAGGTACAAAGACAATTCAAAAAAAAAAAAAATGATCCAATGAAATTGCACACCTACTAAGACATTTAGTCAATGGTAATAACGAGAACAGACACTTGTTAATGTTATTCTGCCGTCTTGTTTTCCCTCAGAGTGTCGTACGCTCTAAGGGACCGCAAACATTCGGTGAAGAAAGAATACTGGAGGCAGCCAGTGGGCAAGTGTCATCTCAGGAAGGCCGACAGCTGGAACGCCTCCCTCTCCACAGCTATCTGCAGTTTGCTTGCCTGACGAAAATGGCGTGTGGAGCTATGACCAGCTACAGTGCGAGCTGTTAAAATTAGTGGGTGGAAATAACTTCCTTATGTGACAGGGTTGGAAGCCTTGCAGAATAGTTCGTCTTCGGGCAAGAGGATGACACTGCTGGGCAGGGGGATGCAAAAGAAAAGTCGCGTCGCCGGGCTCCTGTGTCTGAGGGCTGAAGTGTGGGCGAAACAGCGCGAGGAATGGTGAACATCATTTTTTCCAAGATGAGAAAACAGAAAAATGTGAGCTGGCAATCAAAAGAAAATAAACTAAGCCTTAAAAGGAAAAAATGATGGGAAAAGAGGCGGCTTTATAAACTCCAGCTCAGTGTTTGGGGTGTGTTGCTGCTGCTCTAATGAATTGCTGGCACTGGTTTTTGTAGTCACTTAAGGGTCAGGAGAAAAATGTTTTTCTAAAAGATGCAGTGCAATTTTATTAGCAATAACACACTCCGCTCTCACTTATTTTGTTTTGGATACCTCTTTCAAAGGAGTTGATAATCACCATATTCAAATATCAGAAGGTTTTTTGACATTCAAAGTAAAATGCCTACAGAGGAAATGTTTAAATGTCTACATTGTCTGTAAATGAAGCTTTGAGGAAGAAGACCTGGATGTTTAAAATCATTTTATGTTCATCCTTTACCCAACATATCCAATTTTATCTTTCTGTTGGAAACTTTAAAAATGTTAATGTCAAACTAAAAACAAAATCTTGGCAGTTGCAAGGCAGACTGTATTTCTTTGGGTGCTTAAAAAAATAATCTTAGATTATATTCTAGTACAGCGGTCAGCAAACTTTTAATATAAATGGCCAGATAGTAAATACTTTCAGCTCTGCAAGCCAGCCACATGGTCTTCGTTGAGACTATTCAACTCTGTCATTGCTGAGCAAAAGCAAACAATAACTAAACAAGTGGGTGTGGCTGTGTTCCAATAAAACTTTATTTACAAAAACAGGCAGTGGGCCGCATCTGGCCCACAGGCCACAGTTTGCAAATCCCTGCTCTACTCTAGCATACAGATCAAATTTTGCAAGAGCAAATGGGTTACAGATGATGTAGAAACATATGAGTATGACATAACTTTCTCAGTAATACTACCTTACCAGAAAATAAAACTTACTAAAAATTAGAGAAAATCTTTGGAGAATTCATTCTGAAGATCATCAATAAACAAACTTAGAAATTCTTAATATGCATAACATTTACACCCAAGTGTTAAATGTAACTCCATCAGCAGACGAGCATCATAGGAAACCACCTGCTACTTCTTAGCTAAGTTGCTCAAGAAGCCTCAGGCCGGCATTCTCCACCATCCTACAAACAGCGACTTCGCTGGGTTATCCAGGCTCAGAGAGTGGCAGCTTTCTGAAGTTTATCATTATGTTACCACAGTTATCACGGAAACCATCCTCTTGACTATGACTATTCATTAAAAGCACACTATTTCATGACATAAATACTTCCAAAAGCCAACCACGGTCTTTGTGATATGGAAAAATAAAAAAATGTAAGTTTATTTTCATTCATAGAAAAACATTTTTCAAAGATGGATTCACTCATCTTGACTTCTTTGAACAAGGAAGGGCCCAACACAGTGAGAAAAAGAGAAACCTTACCCTTCCACCCCAGGTAAAAAGTTTAGCATAATTTAAATTCTCCACTACTCAAGTTAAAAACAATATGTGGTAATTGTTCTAAATTATTTCATCAGATATGTGAGGATGGTAAATAATATACATACAATTAAGCTCTACTTCAAGTATTCAGTTTGTATTGTCTTCACCATGTACAATTAAACAGCTTAATTTTAAATTATAGGCAGGAACAATTGCTCTACAAAAACTAGTATCTACGAGAAAAACATTTTATAAACCTAGAGGAATTATTTTTTCTGTTTGGCTTACATTTTGATTTTAAAAAATTACTATGTCTATACTCTAGAAAAGAGTTAAATATTCTAAATTTAATTATATTGAACATGGATAAGATACTTCAGTTAGAAATTATGTACTTATATTAATATCTGTGTCCCAAACCCGAGAGAGTACAAAAGCATTCCTGATTCTTTCTAGGATTTGCCCATCTGGAATAGGTAATAATGTAACCTTCATTATGTTTTGGGAGTCACCGAATTTAATTAATTAGCTGTCCTTTTTAAGGCTTAACCCACATTTGTGCAAGTAGTTCTGTAATTAAACAAGAAAGGCACAGCGTCTTCTGGAGGTAGATGGTGGCTACAGGTCTCCAAAAAGTGTTGCCAATTCATTACATTAGAAAACTAACTTTCTCCAAACGGGAACAATTCATCTCCTTAACATAGAAGGAATATTTTAATTTCTGAAATTTTTAAATGCTTATTAGGGACTTGGCTACTAATTTTTAAAATGTACTAAAACAGCCACAAATACTCATGAATATTTTCTCGGGACTTGTATGAAAAAGAAAATATACGTGACGTATTTCTACAGACAAATCTTTATCCTGAATTTCACTTCATTTGAAATCAATAAATACGTTTACAAACCAAAATATCAGAGTACATAAATACTACTATACACCTTTGGCCAGGTCAAACTTAAGGACAATAAAAGAGGCTTATGATAACTATTCTATATTCTTCTTCCAATAACGTTTCCTTTCTCTATCTTGAAATCTAGTCATGAAGATAAACAGAAAAAGCACACTAAAAAAATAACTGTAAGCAGTCATTATAGAGCTCGCTGAGCTGTGCTTGTATATATGTGTATGACATATATATGCAAATGAATGTACCGCTCACTTATGTTGTCCCTTCTCTATAAACATGGGCACACATAGGATCTACAGTCATTAATCAGCTCCAATTCTGACAGGAAGGACTCCCCTCCCGCAAGTATGGCTTCTGTGCAGGTTCCTCTAATGAGACTTAGGTTTCTGAGAGGAAGATGGTGGGCTAGATGCCAATCCTCCCAGAACATTTTGCTTGCATTTTTCTGAGATATAATTCACATAAAATTCATAAAAAAAAAAAAAAACCAACAAAATTCATCTTTTAAAATGCACTAGTCAGTGGTTTCAGTATATTCACCAACACTACCTAATTCCAGAACATTCTCATTGCGCATAAAGCTATAAAATTTAAATTTACACCAACACCATTTCATCTCTTTTTCTGCAGTTAAGACTGAAGTGTTCGATACAGGTTATGATGATGTACCCTGAGAATGCAGATATTTGCGTATGTCATGAAAATAGACTGAAAACACATGTTTAGACAGATAGAGCAAGCATGAGACTGCCGGGAGCTACCTCTGCATTGCTGGACCTTCATCCTACCTCGGGCTTCTCTGCAATAGCCCACTTCATACACCGCCACGCTGAGGAGAAATAGCATCGAACTGAAAAATCGCTTAGACTACCTTAACTCGTGACATTTCTGGGCCTTTTTCTTTTTAATTGACGTAACCTTCCTAACTGCCTTGCCTAAGCTAGAAGTAAACACGGCACTGTAAGCAGCATGGATCCTAGCGGCTGAGAAGGCTTATCAGTGAGCTGCTATACATTCCGGCTCGGAGCCTCAAAGGGCTTCCCAAGTTATTCTTCTTAAACATTTACGTAACTAGGTTCCCGGTCCAAGATCTTCGAATTATGAAGTGCTCGTTCCCGGGATTTAGATCTTATTCTTGACAGGATTAAATTTAGAAGATATTAAAAGGTATTTTTCTAAGACACTATCCTAGTATAATTAAGATCATTATAATTAGCTTCTTACATTAGAAATTAAATATCTGAAAGAATGAATCTGTTTGTGGTTAGAAACTATGTTGTCAATTTTCACCTTGAAAATGTAATTATAATTTGAGGATATACTTTTACCAGGTGTATCCACGGCCAGTACAAATGTCTAGACATTATTAAAGGGTATAAGGGCATTAGTTAGATGATGTATTGACAAGCTGTTACGAAAATACGAAAGAATTCATTATAAAGGGTAGCTGATATGCACAGATAGAAGAGGCCACAACACTCAAACTAAAAAGTAATAACCGTTTTTGAAATGAAAACAAAAAGTTTAATTTTACTTTGATCCCTCAAGAAAAATTGTACACATTGATAGTCTCATGTGCGGTAAGCATTTCAAAAAATAATATGCATCGTACTATTTATTTATACATATCTGCTTTGACACAAAAAGGATTTAAGAAACAATAACAAGTTCAGTCCCAGACACATTTTAAATATACAATTTTAGTCTTCCATCTCCCTCTCTTCTGTTTTAAAGCACGCTCCCCAGCTGTTACTCGTCACAGTGGCAGCCATGAGGAAAGCAGAATGACACAATCAGTACGGGGCTTCATTTTGGATCCTCATAAATGTTTTATAATTACTACGTCAAGCCTCTCTAAAGCAGCGTGCCACATGAGCTACATTAAAACTCGTTTTACTGAGGGGTGGGTGGTCACTTTCAAGCCTCATTCTACGAGCACCTTATGTGTTAACGTTATCTGCCAGAGCAGCAGGTGAGATTTTATCGCCAGTTCTGTAGCCAGTTCTATAAACGAGAGAATCAACACACTGATGTTGGATTATTGGACAGCAAGACGTAGGAGAAATCAGAGGAAGGTCAGCAAGGGCCGGGCGCATATTATCATTCTAGGAACATGTGGGTAGCATGAGGCAGGAGGCCTGACAAGGCCGAAACGACCGTTCATTGCAGACCGACCGAGTGCTGGGTACTGAGCATGCGCCGTCCCCTAACCTCACAGCTATCCTCAAGGGAATGCGCACACTCCACGCTTTGCAGACGAGAAGGGGTTCCATGGCTAGTCCAAGACGCTCAACATGGGCATAGGGCTTAAAAGCCCCCAGCTCAGATTTCAAATCCTGTGCTCTTTTTATGGAAAGCCAGGATTCGAACTCAGGTCCGACTGCCAAGTCCATAGACGCCTGCCACCCTGCCCCTCTCTGATCCACCCCCAACGCTATTCAGTTTGGCGCCAAAGACAAGATGGACGGCGTGACCCTAGCTGCCCACGTCCGCCTCTCTGACCACATCGAGGCAACTCTAGTTACGACCATGGGAGTCATGCCACTCTGGGTGACCTCGTGATGCCACCCCAGTACTTGGCATCTTGGCAGGACATTTCAACGTCAGTGGTGCTCACTGTGAAAATACGACATTCTCTTATCCTAATGTACTGACGTGGGGAGGGACAGAACCGCGCATCTGTAGGAATCTGAAGATTTAAAACGTGTTGAGGAGAGAACAATATTTGTTGGAAAAGGTCTGAAATCAGTACTTGCCCCCCATCGCGTCATGGGGACAGGGTTCCTAACTGCCACTAAAGAGATCTAGCTTTGCGAAGAGCCCAATTTTCAAAAAGACTATAATTACTTAACTACGATATTAAATGGAAATCATTTTGACTCTGAACCTGAATACTGTAGTGAAACGTCACCGTTGCTCATGAACTTGTCTAGGAAAGAAATGTTGCGACAAACACCATCTCTGTGCTCGATGGACCTTGTGGTTTTATTTTTTCCTTCCGAATGCATTTGTATTGTTAACATTTGCTACAGACACAGGTGCGTCTGAAAGATTCTCGTGCCAGTCTTGGAACAGTTCACCTTCTAGAAGTCCCTGGGGAGGTGACCGTGCACAGCTAAAACCGTACTGTGACATTTTCCTTTTCCTCTCATTTTTGAAAGTAGTCGATAGCCACTTTCTTTCTTTTTCCCTCTCTTTCTCTCAGCTTCTTATGAAGATTCCCAGTATAAATGCACCAGGTGGCGTTACCTACAAATATACAAACTGAAAGAAAAGAAATATTACGGTTGGCTACTCAGGAGTCTCCTGAAGTGAAAACATACCTGGACATTTAGCATGGTCACAGAGTGTCAAAATCAATCGGGAATGAACAAAGGGACTTGGACTGGCCACAACTGCTGCTTTAGGGTCGGGAAGGCACTTTGCTGTGGCAGGTGGCCCACGTGTCCCATACCTTGTATCTGTCCATCGGGTCTTCCTGCTGCAGCTGGCTCTCCCGCATGGTCTGATATTCCTTCTCATATTTCTTCAGCTTCTTAGTCGGTACCTGCAGGCAGCAGAGGAAAAGCTTGTTACACAGGGAGGTCATGTAGGAAAACCTTTTCTAAAGTGTCTCCCAATTAAGTCTCTGGCATTCTCGGGGAACATGCCCAGCTCAAAGCTGGGGCGGGGCTGGGAGGATCTAGATTCTGGCGCAGGGGTCTGTAAATCTTTCCTCTACAAGTCCAGCGAGTGTGTTCTTTAGGCTTCATGGGTCACAGTCCAGGTCACGGCTACCCCACTCTGTTATCACACACAAGCTGCCACAGGTGATACGTAAACGAATGAGCGTGGCCATACTATAAACCGTTTTTTCACAAAAATGGGCTGTACTTTGTCCATCTATGTTCTATAATACTGCTGATGTTATAGCTTTTTCTTGTCAATGTATTTAACAATGCTATTAATTCTATTAACTACCTTTCTTTAAGTAAAATTTGCTCATAGCCTACATTATTTTATAACTAAAAAACTGTGCAACAAAAAATATTTTTAAATAAAGTTAATATACCAGAGAGAAAGAAGATTCTCAAGTTCACCACTGAAAACTCAAAGAAATATGGAATCATTGTGCCCTATGAGATAATAGAAAATCATCTAAACAATTCATCTATTTCTTGCTAAAATTATGTCATCTTTAAAAGATAGTAGACTACTCATTTCTGAGGAAAGACTAGAATCTTACAGAATCTTAGTATGATAAAAATAAATCAGCATAGCATAGTGTAAAGGTCATAGATTTTGCCACTGGATAGAGCAGGGTCTGAATGTTAATATTTTATTAACCTGCTGGCAAACAGGTATTTGCCCTCTCTTAGCCTGAGTTTCTTCATCTGTAAAATGACACGCAAACAGATTTCTACTTCACAGGTTGTCAGGAAAAGTTACTGATAAAACGTAGGTAAAATATTTAAAATAATGCCTGGTTCATGGATATTTAAAAAGTTATTTTTAATACATATCTACTCGAAATTAATGTATTGTAATCTACTATGTTCCATATAACAGATAAAGTCTACCTTCAGGTTTTCCTCAGACAATCAAAATTATGTAATTCCTTTAGACATCAAAATCTTAATGTTTAGGTCCTAAAGCAGGTGACTTGAAATGGGAAAAAAATATATTTACTTTTTTAAAAGATTACAAATGTGTTATTTTGCTGAATCCTTGGGGACTTCGTGAAGGCAAGGACGAGGTGTTGATGCCTCAGGATCCATCATGATGCCTACCCAAAAGTACTGGCCCCTACGAGGCTTGACAGATTGTTTCTCATTGAGTTCGAAACACAGTACTTAGAAAGCGTGTTGTGTACGTGTGAGAGACAGCAAGAGAGAAAGCACCAAAATGGACATAAAATTGCCTTCCAGTTTTCTGAGATGCCGACAGTTAAATTTTCTGGAATCTAACCAGAGTTGGTCACATCGAAAGCGAGGCCATCAGGTGCCATTCCCTATCTCCTTCTAATTACTCTGTTCTTCCCACCCAGGAACACGATGAAGTGTGGGATTATTTGCTTCTCACCACACCTGGGAAGTTTCCCAGACTCGGTCCGAACCTGACAGACAGTGTAAGTCATTCAACAAAACGAGGACAATCTTATGGCTGATGGGAGACCGTCTCCCCACTCAGACAAGCAACAGGACCCTCCCCGGGTGTAACCGAATTGCAAAACCTGTCGAATATTGTCGTGAGACCTTAACTTCAGGCTGTGACCAACTAGAGCACAAGAGAAAGGATGGCACCACCTGCCAACCGTGTGGCCTCGAGATCTTCGGGCGAACATCAAGGAACACCTGCGTGCCTGTGTGCTAAGAAAACATTACTTTCCTTGACAGTGATGGGGCCTTAATTTCTTCTGGTTTTCTCGTCTCTATGCAGTAATCATATACTCGGAAAAGCAAAATAACAGACTCGAGATGAAGTGGCAAATCACGAGTACCGCAGAAGTCCCGCAGCGGTGAGCAGTGACAGGTGTTTTGTGTGCATCCCTGGGGCAGGTGTCAAGTTCAAGGGGAGAAGTGAGAAGAACTGTGAGGAGGGTGCCTACTCCAGCTGCCATTTACCCACAGATCAGAAGTATTTCAGTATTTTTGCAGCTGAATACTGGTGCCAGTGGGTACCAGGCTGACCATCAGTCCTGTGTGGAAGTATGTTCTATATGCTTCTAAAATGGATACATTCACCAATGACTGAATTACATATGGCAAGCTCATTTCTAGAGCATTTCATCTAAAACCATATTTTTTTAATTCAAACTATAGCTGAGATTTTTTTTTTTACATGTAAAGAGTGTCCTTTTAAAAGTCAACCTTGCTACTTCCGTTAAGAGGTACATTTCAAAGAGAAATTTTCAAAAAAATGCATTAGACACCCTCACAAAGCTAATCCTTTCTCATCTGGCTGAGGTTCTAGGATGTTTGGCTTCAGCTTGTTCAGGGAAACCGAACAGGTTCCCAGAACAACATGTTGCTAGGAAACCTTCCAAGCTTATTTATCTTGTGCTGTGGGGTGATATTGAGCATCCACCTGTGATTGGCACGAAGGGAAACGGGGGGAAGGGCGGAGGAGGAAGAGACGAGAGCTGATAGGAAACTCTTGTTATTTACAGAGAAAGAACATAGTCTTATGGTTTTTAAAACTGTATTTCAGGACAAAATTGATTTGGTTTTAGGGACTGTATTACTGAGCTTAAAATGTGTCTTATTAGAGAAGGAATAAAGAACCTCTTTAGGATGTAGTTTTAGCTAAAAGAACAGAAAGTCACCAAGAATTATTAGAATTGAAACAACCTATTATCTCAAGAACAGAATAGGTATCTCTCCCTAAATAAATTTAATGCAGGTGTGCACATGAAGAGTCTGTTCAGTAAAAAACATCCATTCTTTTCAATGTCTACCTAATCTGGGGTTCTGTTCCATCAGCCACCCATCCTCTGCTGTCCAACACCTCCTATTTGGCTAAATTCAGAAAATATCCTCAAAAGGTCCACAATTGTTTGCAAGTATAACTGATAATGAGCACTCACCACTTTGAAATGATATTTTTAAAAAAACAACCAATCACACAGGAAAACAAAGTGGGATATCCATCCAACCGTGTCAAGACAGCCCCTACGGAGTATGACAGCAATCGTTTAAGTTACCAGCCACGGCCTGACACTTTGGACCTGACAGCTACACTTAGGGAAGGGCGTTTAAGACAGAGCCAGGGTTCTCGTCTTTTGAATATTATCTGATATTTAGATATTTCACAAAATATGCGTGGCCCTGGCACTGAAGTTATAACCACCATTATTACAGAATCGGTAAGTTGGAGTTGGAGGGACCTCTGGAGACCGTCTGCTGCCACCCTTTCCTTCAGGACGAGAAAGCCGGACCGTGTGGCCGTGGCCGTGGGGGAAGCCAGCTGGCCCCGCCGCAGCAGAGCCGCGTGGGCTGCTCGGTGGCCTCTGGCCTGCGCGTCCTTCCCAGTATTGGGCTGTGTGGGCTGCTGGGCGACATGTTTCCCAAACTCTAGTCATTTGAATACAACTGTCACTATTTTTGCCATATCCAAACTCCTTTTACTACTATTTTTCTTTAAATCAACTGTTTTACATAAATTTACTTCACAAGAAAACAATGTAGAAACAACAGTTGACACAGACAACTGTGGTAGGCAGAAAATGGCCTCTCAGCGTGTCTGCACCCCAATTCTCGAACCGTGAGGTGAGGGATAGTCTCATTATGATCAGTTTGTTTACGCTTCCCTGCCCAGGTAAAAATACAACATTTCCTCTGTGCCAATGTGAGCAACGGCCGGTCACTCCTAAGAGCCATTATTATTCAGGGCTTGATGAATCTGCTTCTGTTATTTCAGAAATAAAAGATACAGAAATATTTACTGATGAATGCAAATGTTGGCAGAGCACGTCACCATTTAAAAAAAGGGCTGGTAAGAGACGGTTAATGTTTTCCTAATGGTCAGAAGAAGGCTGAGTGCCTTTTAATAAGACAAAGGTAGCAGCCATTAGGTACTGCTGTTCCTCACTTCAGATCATCTCGCAGGTTGACTAGAAATGATCCCATTGATTTAATACATTAATCACCGGACAGAGAGAAAATAGATAAGAAGGGTAGTACCCCACATCCTGGTGGTTTGGGGGAAGGGGGGCGGCCGAAGAGTTTCCAGTTCAGAGTCACTTCTACAAAGACTTGTCAGGATCTGGACAGGAAGTGGACCAGTGACGACCAAAACTCTAGCGGTCAGTGCGCAGCGGCAGGTGGACTGGGGAGGGAACAGGTGGGAAGCATCAGGGGGAAAAGTCATCCAAGAGGAGGGTCCACGTCCTACACGCCTCACCTAACTCTCTCTACAGTGACCAGCGAAAGAGGCCGCTCTGGCTCCTCTCGAGCGTTCAGCACTGGGAAGAGGGGGAAACGCAGCCCGTGACATCTTACCCCATGTGACTGGGGACAAAGAACTTTCAGGGAACATCAGAGCCTCTAAATGATTATTAGTTGTATTCTTTTTTGTTGAGGTATAATCAACATATAACAACATATAAGATTCCCATGTACAACCTAATGAGTCAATACATGTATATACTGTGAAATAAGCAAATACATTTAGTTAACGTCCGTCACCATTACCAATTTTTTTTTCTTGCGGTGAGCACTTTGAGGATCTACTCTCTCAGCAAGTCTCAAACAAGCGACACAGTATTACTAACTGTAGTCCTCATTACAGCCCTGTGACTTATTTATTTTACAGCTGGAAATTAATACCTTTTGACCCCCTTCACTCATTCCACCCATCCCCACCCCTCACCTCTGGCAATATTTGTTGTGTTCTAATACTTAAGAATCAATTGGTTTAAGGGTGTGGGGCCAAAGAAAGTGTGCATCTCTTATAACTGACATAACTCCCAAGGCTTACAGACATCAGGTGACTCATCGCGCTCTCCCTGAACCCACACATGACAGTCCAAGGGCTGCCCCTGCTTCCGTCTCACCCGGCACGTTCAGT